TCCGCCGCTGGGCTTTAGGAGATGTCTGGACGCGGCAAGCAGGGCGGCAAGGCTCGCGCCAAGGCGAAGACGCGTTCGTCCCGCGCCGGGCTGCAGTTTCCTGTGGGGCGCGTGCACCGCCTGCTGCGCAAGGGCAACTACGCCGAGCGCGTGGGCGCCGGCGCCCCGGTGTACCTGGCGGCCGTGCTGGAGTACCTGACGGCCGAGATCCTAGAGCTGGCGGGCAACGCGGCGCGCGACAACAAGAAGACGCGCATCATCCCGCGCCACCTGCAGCTGGCCATCCGCAACGACGAGGAGCTCAACAAGCTGCTGGGCAAGGTGACGATCGCGCAGGGCGGCGTGCTGCCCAACATCCAGGCCGTGCTGCTGCCCAAGAAGACCGAGAGCCACCACAAGGCCAAGGGCAAATGAGGCTCCGGACACAGCTCCAAAACCAAAGGCTCTTTTCAGAGCCACCTACTGTTTCTGCTAAAGAACTGTGTACTCTGATAAGCTCATACATACCTGGTTTTTTGGTGTAAATTAGGACTTGCTCAAGAACATTATTCAAACCAGGGAAAGGTCAGGAGCTAGGTATCAAACTGTCCAGGCCTCTCCCCTCCCTACACACACATTGCTGCGTAAGGGTTTAGGGACGTAAATTTAGGTTGATAGCTCTAGTGAGCATTGAACTAGCCTTCCTTTTCATTCTTTTATAAATACATCTTGCCCCTTGGGCTGCTAAAACTGCAGCCCCAACTCCAAGGCCATTTTCAGAACTACCTCCTTACTGGACAAGACCTAAATTATCCGCTGTCGTAAATTTATAATCCCTCCGTGCGTGCTGGTTTACATTTTCTCGCGTTCGAAAGTCCAAGGAGCTAGTTGCATCAAAATCAGTTATCTATTTCTTATTGGTGTCACTTAGGCAAGCAGAGATCCATCCTCTCCGCCCTTCCTCGAGACTGCAGAAACTAAGATTCTCGCCCTCGATAGGTCAGGGGCCAATGTGCTTGTCTATGAAAAGGATTTTTGCTTTGTTCAGTCATTAAAAGCACTTAGGACATAGGAGTACTTTTCCAACTAAGGAATACATTATTCTACCTGTAATTTTACCCATTATCGGAAACAGGGAAATTAAGAAAAGTTTGCAGTGATTTAAATTCTTAACAGGACGGCTCGAAAATCGGGGTGGGTGGGGGAAACACAGCATATGAAGCCGTTCTGAGTGGTAGAGAGCAGCCTGGGTTAAAAGCCAATCAGGACTCGCCTGCAACAGTTTTGGCCAATCAGGATCGGATCATCCGTATAAATAGTGGTCGCGGCGCGCTCATTTCAGTCCCTTGACTTGAGCAAGCTTCAAGTTATGGCACGTACGAAGCAGACCGCCCGCAAGTCTACCGGCGGTAAGGCCCCCCGTAAGCAGCTGGCCACCAAGGCAGCCCGCAAGAGCGCGCCGGCCACCGGCGGCGTGAAAAAGCCGCACCGCTACCGGCCCGGAACCGTGGCGCTGCGCGAGATCCGCCGCTACCAGAAGTCCACCGAACTGCTGATTCGTAAGCTGCCGTTCCAGCGCCTGGTGCGCGAGATCGCGCAGGACTTCAAGACCGATCTGCGCTTCCAGAGCTCAGCGGTGATGGCGCTGCAGGAGGCGAGCGAGGCCTACCTGGTGGGGCTGTTCGAGGACACCAACCTGTGCGCCATCCACGCCAAGCGCGTCACCATCATGCCCAAGGACATCCAGCTGGCGCGCCGCATTCGCGGGGAGCGGGCCTGAGCCCGCGACGCCCCCACCTCCCCCAAAGGCTCTTTTCAGAGCCACTTCCTTTTTCACCGAGAGAGGCTGTCACAGGTTTGATAAACGGAAAGGGGGAGGTGTTTGACTTGCATAAGGGACAGGCGTGAGCCTTACTAAGATTAACCCGCAGAGAGTAGCTTCAGAGGTGACTCCGACCAGGTCGATTCCGATATAAGGATTCAAGAAGGAGCAGAGCTGAGTTTCAGCCAGTTTGGGGCTGTAATTTACCCGGGCGAGTAGTGTTTTGCTGCCCAGGCCGGTCTGAGCTCTAGTCCACAGCCCTGGATCGCCGCCAGCATAGCTGTGGCAGTGTCGTTCCCAGGTGGCTCTCCGCCGGGGACGGGGGAGGATCTCATTTTGATTTTGGCTCCTCCCTCCCTGGGCCTGGTTGGCCCTGACCTCAGAACACAGCATCCGCCACTGTTCCGGAAGAGTTGGTGGCAGGAACTGCTGGTGTTTTGCCCTGGGACTAACAATAGTGCGTGAGGGTCCAATTTTAACCACCACTTAATTTACTAAATATAAACCCCAAAGGAACAACGAACAAACCTGAATTTGGCTGCAGCTGTACCGCAGCGAGCTATGCAGAGGAGCATTCTGGTTCTAAGGAGCTTGGAGTTGGGCGGTCACCTGGTGACCCTGCAGGGAAATGCTCTAAAGTGCTTATTCTTCACATCCATCTCAGTTGTGATGCTGCAAATTCGGCAAACTAGCTCTGGCCTTGCCAGCCTCCAGGAGCCTGGTGCTGCAGACCTGGGTCTGCGGGGCGATCCGTGGGCCCCTGGCCGTGGCAGCGTGGTGAGGGTGGCCGGCCCTCTGCCTGGGACCCGCAGACCGAGTGCACTGTGTCCCCCTCTCCCCAGGGCTCGCTGCTGCCCTAGTCCCTTCATCACCCGACATCCAAGTGTGTTAAACGTGAGCTCCGGGAGACACTGTTCCTCAAATCTTTGCAAAGTTAAATTGTAAAAGTCAAATGTTGCTTTCTTTTCTAAAGAGCAAATGCGGTTGCTTTAGCCTTCCACTCAGGGACACACGCTGGGGTTTGCAGTCTTTAGAGATCCTGTGTTTCAGATGAGCCACAGACCGGGAGGGCTTTTTCTAGGTGAACCGTAAATTTGGGCCTAGCAATGGTTCTTTTAGGAAACGTTCAAAACCTTATTTGATACTCTGTCCTGAATGAGTGGAGCCGGACTCCGCTCCTAAGTGTAAGCTGGGTTCAGAGTGCCTTCTGAAGAAACCAGATGGCACAGCACCGACGCCATTGGGCTTCGCTGGAGCCCGGGTTGTGAGGGGCCCTGCACCTCCCCTTGCTCTTGGGTCACCCTGGTGAGAAACAGACCTTCGGGGTCCGCAGGAACCAAAACAGCCGTGGAACTGAGCCACGTTGGGCAGTGGCTCCTCAGGGGGCTGCGGTTCCTCACAGCTGGACTCTTACTTCTTGGAGACCCTGGGCCAGAGCCATGCTCTCAGAAAAGCTGGCCATGGGGTTCATTTGCCGTTTTAAACTGCTAACTTTTTGAGTAGCTTGAGCACAATAAATACCCTTCGCGTAATTAAGCCTTCTCACTGCCACCGTTTGATTTGACTGTTAGCACCCTGAGGCAGGTGGGGCCGGCGCTGTCCTGCGGGAGGGGCCAGGCTCTGTGAGCTGAGCGCGGGCAGCACAGGCGCTGAGCCCTCCCTGCCCTCGGGCAGCATCTCTTGGCCTGGCGCTTATTGCACAAAGCGTCGCAAGTCCTTATTCTCCGTCTTCCTCACCCCACACCGGCTTAAGCTGATCCACGGGAGGAAAGACATCCTCTTTCTACTTAGACTCCTGGGCTGGGGCTCTTGTGTAGAAATGAAGGAGAAGAAGCCTGCAGTGTGCGCAGATCCGTGAGGCCCTCAGCCCCATGGAGGAAGCCAGGCCTTGGGGAAGCCGAGGCAGAGCAAGTGGAGCCCAGGCCCCTCAGGTCAGGTACCCCCCTGAGTCCTCCCGGCTGCAGTTGACGCTCCTTGCCTCGGCCTCCGGTCTGCGGGAGTGAAAATCCTCCCTCCTTGACGCCAGGCTTTGCGAGAGCCAGAAGCTCTGCTCGAGGATTCCTCTCAGCTCCTGGGATGGAGACACCGCCTGGGAGCTTATCGCTGTCAGACGCCACTTTCCAAGCCATGAGATGTGCACTTCGCTCACAAGAGTTCTCCAGGTTTCCTGTGGCAGTGTCAGCACGTCAGGTGACCATCGAATGCTCACTGGACTTCCTTTCATTTGTGAGTTTAGGTTTGGAGAACTCCTCAGAGACTGGGAAGATACACCGCTGTCCTCTGATGAGGTTGGATTGAGGAATTATTATCTTTGACTAAAATTTGGGTTGTTTTTTTTTTTTTTGGACCAGGGATCAAACTCGGGTCCTTGCACTTTCGAGGCAGGTGGTGGAACCACTGAGCTAAATCTCCAGCTTTGGCTAAAATTTGGGAAACAAGCCAAGTGTGGTGGCGTACACTTGTAATCCCAGCACTCTGGGAGGCTGAGGCAGGAGGATCACAAATTTGAACAGGCCTGGGCAACTTAGTGATTTAGAGAATCCTATCTCAAAATAAAAATTTTTTAAAATGGCTGGGGCTGCAGTATTAGTTGATCACTAACACTACTGACACATAAGCAAGTTATTTTTATAGCTAATCTCATTAGTGAATGGCTGATCTTATTTGACAGTCTGTTAATTTCTGTTTTTTGCAAGGCCAAATTTCCCAAACTTGTTTTCCATTTCTAGATATTATTTGAAGAAGAGGAAACATCTCTGTGTGGATAACTGAAAAGATGTTGAAATAATCAGATGAGAACAGAGCCTTTCAGACTTGCACACTCCTTCCCAGAAGTGTAGAAATCCTAAAAGAATACAAAACAGACCAAGCCCTCAGCAAAAACTCACTGCAGGTAAAGTGCACAAAGATCCCCACTTATGAAAGATATTCTGAAATGTGAGAAATTGAGTTTGAAAGACATATATCCTGCTGACAGTGACAAACTTTCTGACCTGGACAAGATTGGACACAGTGCTTTCTGAGATGGAAATCGGGAGAAGCTGAATGAAAACTGTCACCTATGTAAATGGCCTGAAGAGAGCTTAGAGATGATCACTCTATAAGAAACTATCCCTGATTGCAATAATTATACAAAGAAAAACATTCTTGGATTTTAATTGGAGACACTGGAATAACTAACAATTATATATTTAAAAATTTTGTTTTACATAATCAGACAAATGTAAATCAAAATAACAAAGCACTGCGTAATATCCATCAAATTGGCAAAAGCTAAAGCTAGGTATGTTACTTGTGCTGCTAGAACAAGATACTATTATAGGCAGCTAAGTTAGATAGAAATTAATATTCAATCAAAGAGGAACTGGGCCTTCAAGGAATTCAGCACAAAAAATAAGACATGAGAATTCTAAGCCGTGAGTGGAGGTGCACAGCTGTAATCCCAGTGCTCGGGAGACTGAGGCAGGAGGATCACTGCAAGTTTGAAGCCAACCTGCACTACGTAGTGAGTTCAGGGCCAACCTGAACTGCATAGTGAGACTGTCTCAAAAAACAAGCAAACACGAAAGACATCAGAATTGTGGCTGGAGGTACACCTGAAGAAGGCCGGGCCTCAAGATGAAGACACAGTGGCCAGGCCTGCAGGCCTCCTTGAGAGATAAACAATACTTTGTGATTACACTGTAATTAGCACCACCTGGTCCATCTAGTCCAGATGGGCATCAGCAGCCCAGGTGGGTGACCAGAGCACCAGGACCCAGCCCATCCCAAACTGCCTTTGCTCCTTCCGTGTACCCGGCTATAGGACTTGGCTCCCTGTTGGATCATCAGCTAAGCAGCTGCACTTGTGGTCTCACAGGCTGATGGAGGTTTGACCCACTGTGACTTTGCTGCTCTCCTCCTCACATCCAGGACCCGTTCTTCTTCCCCTCATTCCCAGTAAACCTCTAACTTCCTCCCTTGGTTCGCAGGTTCACTCCCCAGTGTTGTGGGACCGTGAAATCGGCACATTTGGCATCTAACAGGTTGGGAATTAGATTTCTCCCATATCAACACCATCACCTGGGGAGCCCGGAACACAACTCCCATTTCTCTCTCACAGCTCTGGAGGCGGGGATCGGCTCACTGGACAGCACGTTTGCGCTGTGTCCTCTGTCGCACAAGGGGCAGTTACTCGCTGGGCCTGGAGTGCAGCACTGGTCCTGCTCCGACTTCACCACCTCCCCAGCGCTGTCTCCTCCTCTGAGCCTGCTGGGGCTGTGGCCCCGCACAGCAGGTTTCCTCAGGGCCCCGCAGGGCACAGCACTGGGTGAAGCTGTGTCGTGGTGGAGGGGGGGGCATCACTCTCGAGTCGTGGTTTGCTGATGGAGGGTTTAGGGGACATTTTGGAGAAACATCTAACCATCTCTCCTGTGCCCAGGCCTCTGCCCCGAGGACTTTCTCCTACAGACCGGTAAGAAAGCATCAATAATGTTCATCAAAATCATACTGTGATAACAGGAAGGTAGAGAAACTTAAGGGAATAAAAAAGTAAAACACAGTGGTTAATTACCAAGAAGCAGGCTCTTTCTTCCTGCGGCCATGAAACATGACTGGCAAAAACAAAAGGCCGCTCAAGGCTCGGTCATGCGGTTCACACCTGAGCACATTGGGCCTGGGCCTCTCAGAGCTGTGTCCACAGCTGTATGCCTGTCCCTCTGTTCCTGCACTGCAGCCAGAAGGTGATGGCACCACACACGGGGGGGTCTCTGTCACCAGGACAGCCAGCTCCGGAGATGTGAGACCAGGTAAGGAGGAAGAGCTTGGCCTGGTGTGGCAGCAGACACGTAATCTGGACACTCTGGGAGGCTGAGGCAGGCAGACTGCAGGTTTGAGCCCATTTTGGGCCATTTGGCAACTTAGTGAGACCCGGTCTGGAAATAAAAATTTAAAAAGGGCTGGGAGCATGGCTCACTATAAAGGCCCTGGGCTCAGTCCCCAGTACTGCAAAGAAAAGAGCTTACTGTTGGAAACTGTCTGTGATATGTCTCAGGCATGAAATCTGCAACTACACGAAGACCACTGCTGGTCACAGGAAAGAACAGACCAGAGAGCATAAGAGTTCCTTAAATGGATTGTTTTGAGGAATTGTGGACATAGGAGAAACCCTGAAAAAAGAGAAACCACACTTTGTGACAGGCCTGCCCATCTACACCACAGCTCTGCGCTAAGGCCGGCTCCAGCCCAGGAGGGGCTCCTCTTCCGAAGGGGTCCTGACAAGTCACGGCCAGCCCTAGCCTTGGCCACCACGTACTTGCTGGCCTGTCACCTCGGCCTCAGACTCCTCTTGGCTACTGCCGAAGATCATCTTTAAGACTGAACTCTAATCCACTTCTGTGGCACTCATTCCTTCTGGGCATCTCAGACAGGAAATGTGCATGTTAGTAGACTTCTGTTAGCCTATTGTAGTAATATGGGGGAAGAGATCTCACTCCCAAACCTGCCGGACTTCCGAAACGTGTGTTCCTGTTCTCTAAAATCGAGAAATGACTTCTAGAAACAACGGAGGTCGAGTAGGAAAATTTTATTGAGAAGGACAGCTTCTGTCTAAGAGAAACTGAAGGAGGACTGGAAAGTGGGCTGCCCTGGGGAATTTGGTTCCCAGGGAACTTTTGTGGAGCAAAGCCATGAGGTGAGGCGGGTTCAAGGTGGGACAAAACTATAGTCAGCCAGTAAGACTGCAAGTACAGTCTCTTAGGTATTGATCCAATGAGAAATCACAAGGTGGACAAAACTATGATCAACCAGTAAAGTTTAGTCGCTTAGGGAATATTGATTAAATGGGGATTCAGTGGGGAAGCAGGTCACGGGTAGCAAGCAGGTACAAGGACCAAGCAAGGATTTTCCCTTAGGGGTGGTTCTGGGATCTTTCTTGGAAGAGCTTGGTCCCCCACCCAGGTGACTGATATCTAATTAGAATACCAATAACTGCTATTCACCCTTAGGTTCCAGAAGCACGTGGGCATGGTAGTTTCCTCTTCTTTTACGATGCTGGCCTTCAGTGAATGTGTCGCGATTGTCCTCCAAGTTGGCTCCTCCAGGGCTGACCCTGTCTAACTGCCCACAAGATATCTAATTAACTTACCTATCTGCAGTAGTAGGACATCCCAGTTCAGAACTCAGAAAGAACCAAAAGAAGATTACTTTTTCCTTCTCCACCTACACGTGATAATCATTGCACAAGATGTAGGGTAGAGCATTAAGTTAAACCAGGAGGCCCCAGTAAGAAAAGCTTTGTATCGTGTGCAGCATATTCGGGTGTTTACTAGGATGCAAACTGATTGGGCCCAACCCTTTGAATTAAGCAGTGTAGGAGCCCGCCGAGGTGGGGCACACTTTGTAATCCCAGCATACCAGGCCAAGTGCAGGAAGATTGAAAGTTTGAGCCCAGGCTAGGAAATTTAGCAATTTAGAAAGATCTTGTCTCAAAATAAAAAATTAAGAGGGCTGAGAGCTGGGTGTAGTGGCACATGCCTATGATCCCAGCACTGTGGAGGCTGAGGCAGGAAGATTGACTCAGGTAGGTGCCAGTCTGAGACCTTGTTTCAGAAAACAAAAAGACAACAACAACAAAAGCCCCCCAAATACAAGAGCGTTGGGGATGTAGCTCACTGGGAAGGTGCCTGGTTCAATCTCCAGTAACACCAAAAAAGAAAACCATTGAGAAATTGTCGTTGAGCCAACTGTGGGTCAGCAAACAGCCCACAGCCTTCAGAAGCGGAGACCTAAGGACTAGGAGAAAACTTCGTTAAAAGGCACGCAGGAAATGCTCATATCTGATGACCGATGTGATGCAGGGCATGGGATATAGGACCTCCAAACACTCTAAATAGTGTAAGGGGAATATTATAACTCTTAACCTGCTGGCTATCCAAGGAGTTTGTGTTCTCTAAACTTGAAGAATGAATTCTAGGAACCACGGAAGTTAAGAGTAGGGAATATTTATTGAGGGAAAGACAGACAGCTCCTGCCTGAGAAGCACAGGAGGGGACACCCGGAAAGTGGGTTGCTCTGGGATCTCGCTTTTCAGGGGGTTTTTATGGAGCAAAGCCATGAGGTGAGGTGGGCACAAAGTGGGACAAACTACAGTCAACTAATAAGGGCCAATGGGAAGTGAAATAAATAGGACACACATATGTAAATACCGAATAGTTTCTCTGGTGTGAGAAAGGGAAAGTGTAAATAAGGAGTAAAATGATTAAAACGAATAATTGATAATTTGAAATAAGAAAAGGTCCAAACGTGGAGGGGTGATGGGAGAGGAAGGGGAAAGGGAAGAAGGGAAAGGAAAAATTATGAGAAAAGGAAAAAAATGGAAACAAAGTCTTTGTAAATACGGAAGGGTGGAGGGAGTGAAGGAGGGGCAGGGGAAGGGGGAAAAATAAGAACCAAGATGCATCATGTGCAGGTACAAGTATCCAATGATAAATGTAAATGTACTGTGTACTGTCAGGTAAAAGGCCAAAGACCAAGACCAGACCAGGCCACAACAAGCCTTTATTAGGGGAACAGATCTGCCAGGCTGTCTCTGAACAAAGGAGAGAGAAAAGCAATATGGCCGGGGCAGGGAGAGTCTTTTATGGAGACTGGGGTGGGGTTTGTAGGGGCTGAGGCGGGGTTGAGTGAGGTAGTGACTAAGGAATGGAGGAGCCTGTGACGTCACTAGGTGGTAGCAGGTGAGCGAGTATTAGGTTACTCTCTAGGTGGGAACAGGGGCATGCTGGGATGAAGGGTTTGTTCTTTGGTGGGAGCAACCATCTTGGCATGACGTCACACAGGGGAGGGGGCAAGGCACCATAGGAAGAGGGCAGCTATTCTACATAATAGCTGCTGGGGTAGTGGGAGACCTATCATGTACCTAAAATGTACCAATAAAAGAATTTAAGGACAGAAAAATCCAATGATAAATCACAAAGTGGGTATGAAGCGGGACAAAACTATGGTCAGCCAATAACATTACAAGTATAGCTGCTAAGGTAATATTGATTAAATGGAGATCAAATGAGGAAGCAAGTCACATACAAGCACACATGGACCTAGCAAGGATCTCCCCTCAGGAATCAGGGTAGGAGGTTTTGGTCCCCAGTCAAGGTGATGGATGCCTATTTAGAATACCAATCACTGCTGTTAACCCCTAGGGGAAGCATGTGACTGTACAGTCTTCTGTAGGCCTCCCTGGAGGGCCCAGCCCTGTCTTATTGCCTATAATATATCCAGCTACTTAGCTGTCTACAAAAATGGACTGCGTGTGCACAGCGCCCGGACACATGGCCTGGCCTGAGGGTGATGCCTAGGGGGTTCCAGATCTCTTGGTCTGGGTGGAGGGGATCTGGCTTCTCTGGAGCTTGGTCTTCAGAGGAAAGAGCAGAGCGATCTTCCTAGGCCTTCAGCTCGCTTTGGAATCCAGTTCCTCCCTCACTGAGCCACAAGAATTTTGATGTTTCTCCCCAGCCCATGCTGGCCTGAATTCAAAGGAGCGGCATCCACAGCCCTTTTTGAATTTTGAGAGCAGGTCTCTCTCAGCCATTAAATCCGACAGGTTGGGCTCCAACTTTCCATCCTCCTGCCTCAGCCTCCCAAAGTGCCCCCAATCCTGGCTGAATTTTGGTTTCTATGACTTGTTTTTGGAAAAAAAAACCCGGTAGGAGGAGGAGGTTGGGAGGCCAGAAAGAGGCTTGATTCTGAGGCTCTTTCAAGTGACACAGGCAGAGGCCACGATAGGAACCAAATGGGCGTTCAGCATGTTAATGATTAAAACACGATTTGTGTTTTCTTCAGAGGCAGTCAGGTACTTAAAGGCCTTTTTTTGGTCCCCGCTAAGGAATGAACAAAACCGTGATTTAGCCAGGCATGGTAGTGTATGACTGTAATTGCAGCATTCTGGGAGGCTGAGGCAGGAAAATCACAAATTCAAGCACAGCCTGGGCAATTTAGTGACATAGCCAGATTCTGTCTCAGAATTTTAAAAACATTTTTATAAAGGCTGGGGATGTGGCTCAGTGCAAGGCCCTAGGTTCCTTCCCCGCTGCTCGAGGTGTAGTGTGTGAGACACTGGAGCCACAGGTGGTAAAAGGAGTTTACAGAGTCAAAAGCTGTAGAAAAAGCAGGGGTTTGTCACTGCTCCGCAGCGGGAGAGTCCAAGAGAGGGGGCTGCGCAGTCAGGGTGGCAGGCTGGGACTTCTATGCCTGATTTTAACTCAGGAGGGGTCTGCAGCCGCAGCACGGTCGCTGGCAGAGGTCACAGTGTCCAGTGTCTGTCCCGGGCCGAGGACAGCGGGCGTCGCTGGAAGACTGAGTGACGTTTCCTCCCACCCGGTCCAGTGCCCGCGGCACTGCGAGAGTCAGCCCTTCCGGGTAAAGCTAACCAATGGGTGAGCGCTGACTACTGCGAGTGGTCGGGGGTTCCGAGTAAAATATGCCTGTCTGTACTTGAGAGGGACTTTGAAATTGCAATAGGATGGGAGGAGATGGTGCTCTTGAAGGCTGACGAGCGCGCTCAGAGCCCCTAGACACGCTGCAGTTTTGGGTGTGGCTTACACGGTGGAAAGTTAACGTTCCACAGACTCACTGCTCAGCTGCGATGTGGCCTTGAAGCAACAACAGGCAAATAACTGAATCCCTACAATGTCTGGTTCTGGAAAAACAGACAGAAAGAGAGGGAGAGGGAGAGGGAGAAGAGATTTTCCTTGGGCCTACAGATGCCCTACAGCAGCTAAAGGCAGAACACAGGTCGACTTTAGTTTCAGATTTCTGTCAGCTGAACATTCGGATCAGCGCCTTCTGAGCTCCGCGTGCAGGTTTGTTAATCAGTGGGCAGTGTCTGTTTAAAAGCTGGCCGAACAAGTTTGATCAGCATCTCACCCTGCATCCAGACTGAAAATAACGGATGAAAGGGGACATTCAACTGGGCCCAGAGGTCCCCACCTCTGCCCCAACCCCGCAATCACCGATCCCTGGGAGAGCAGCGCCCCAGGGGTGAACCCCCGCGGAGGATCCTGGGAAGGAGCGGCCCCTCCAGCTGGGAAGCGGGCTGAGTCCACCCAGGGCCCCGCGCATCGGCTCACAGCGGCCTCCGCCTTTGCAGGCCCAGGTCGAGCCCCTCACCAGGGCGCTCTCCAGCTGCTCAAGCAGGGCCCTTCCCTATTTTATTCTTGTTCTCTTTTGTTAAGGGCTGGCCTGATCTTTATCAAGCCCCGACGCTAAAGCCCCTATTTTTCTTACCTTTTAATTAAAGTTTTTTTCCCGTAAATGTGTACTTTCATTTCCATTATCACTAAAAGCAAAGATCCACACTAGGCAGTGGCGCGTTTTCCTTTAACGCAGAGTACTCAATCTGCCAAAGTGCCCTATTTGGGGACATTGCACTTACGGTTCCAACAATGGAGGACACAGCAGAGACCTTCCCGGGTATGTTAGGCAGGAGGAGAGCAGAATATTCCACTCCAGAATAAGTCATTTCGGTATAAAAATGATTTTGAGAAAGAGCAGACAGAAAAATGTAAAAAACGAGCAGTACTTTCCCTTTTCCAAGGGAAGACCCCACAGTTATAAAGGGCAATTTCCTGTGTCAAGCTGCAGACCTTACCAGAGGGGAAGAACTCTAGGCATTGTTACCCGGGTGACTGGATCTGCGTAATTTCCCAAGGTAAACTCAATCCTGGCTTCTCCAGGTTTCATCCATTTTTTTGCCCCCCCCCCCCCGCCCCGCATATGTAAGAAACTTTCTCCACTGCCAATCGAAGTCTTTAGCAGTTTGATTTGTAGGGCCCAGCCACTAAACCTAAGACCTGGGGGGAATAGGTTCCCTTTCTCCTGCAGTTTCCTGCACCAGAAGGGGCCCTTAAAAGGTTTCTCAGTGATTCAAGAGTTCATTTTGAGATTTTCATTTTAAAATAACACAGTAGGAGGGGCCAGGGATTTAGCTCAGTGCACTGTGCCTCCCTTGCAAGCGCAAGGTCCTGAGTTCGATTCCCAGTACCGCAAAAACAAAAAGCAGTAGGCATTTAATGAGGCAGATTGTTGCGTGGGTTATCAGCTGCAAGGGAAGAGGACTGCTGAAAGTACCCCACTAGCACACACAGGGTTAACACCTTCCAGGTTATGTGCTTGGGTTCTCTTATTAAAAGAAAGCTCCGTGACAAATGAGCCTAGTCATGGAACACCAGCTTTGCAGATAAACAGTCCAAAAGCTTGCGACTCATAAAACGAGACATCTGTCCAAGCAGGAGTCAACATGCTGAAACATAAAGAGGCGAACATTTCTGACCCTTAGGGCAAGAGAAGGGAGAGTGGGCTGAGAAAACTGCCCAGGTCGCAATGAGGAAGGGAAGACCAGGCTGGGGCCGAGAGGGCGACCACCCCGCTGCCACACTGAGTCCACTCCGGCTGGGCAACACCTTCTCCCCTGAACAAACTCCTCTGTGGCATCTGCACTGTGCGCTTTACTTTACATCTAGGAGAGGTTTTCTGCGTACAGCTTATTTCCTTCAATGGAGAAAAGGGGGACAGGAGTGAACGCGGGGCTGCGTTTTCACCTGCTCCAAAGATATGGAGGGAAAGAGCCTAGCTCGCTCAGCTTCCCGAGTCGTTTGTAAGCAGGGTGAAGAAAATAAAGTCACTTCTACCCACAAATGTGGCAAGTGAGGGAAGGAAAGGAAGTACCACGTAAGGAACACGTTACGGAATCAAGTTGGAGAAAAGCGAGGCCTACATTGCAGCTGGAAGGCGGAGTTAAATTCGTAGAACAAACTCCCCGCGCAAAGCCGCGATCACTGAACTCCTGGAGCAGGACAATGGCTCCGGCAGCTTCCAGAGATTAAACGAGGAAGGTTATGAAGACTCCATGTCCGAACCAAAGGAGACTGTGTCGCCCCGGTGGAAAGGGGAGATTTACACTTTTCCTTAAAATCTGGGCGAGGCGCGGTTTGACAAGGAACTAAGCAGCTGCTTCAGGCGCCGCAGTTTTCAATCAGGTCCGAGATGGACCTATATACAAGTCTGCACTGCAGCACTGTCTACTGCTTTTCTTAGCCTCAACCATGTCAGGACGTGGCAAGGGCGGGAAGGGCCTGGGCAAGGGCGGTGCCAAGCGCCACCGCAAGGTGCTGCGCGACAACATCCAGGGCATCACCAAACCTGCCATCCGCCGCCTAGCCCGGCGCGGCGGCGTCAAGCGCATTTCCGGTCTCATCTACGAGGAGACGCGTGGGGTGCTGAAGGTCTTCCTGGAGAACGTGATCCGCGACGCCGTCACCTACACAGAGCACGCCAAGCGGAAGACGGTCACGGCCATGGACGTGGTCTACGCGCTCAAGCGCCAGGGCCGCACGCTCTACGGCTTCGGCGGCTGAGCGCCCGCCCGCCCACGACCCTTTTTTGCGCGCTCAACATAAAGGCCCTTTTCAGGGCCCCCCACAAAGTCAGTTGAGAGCTGCGCATTTATACAATCTTTCATGTGTTCCCGCAGGCACTGTTGGGAGTCAGCTGTAGTAGGGAGGACTGTGATTGTAGCTGTTCCAGTGTCTGTGTCGGCGAAAATCTCAATTAGCCCATCCGAATCCTTGTGGAGTTAAGTAGAACGGCAAATCCTGTATAATAGGCTACAAGGCTGCATTCTTAGGGCCACGGTAACCGGCTAAAACAGTAACAACAGGAGAGGTTGGAGGGCTATTGTAAGTGGAAGCGATTTTTAGGTGCATTTGGACTGGATGAGTGCTGGTGAATTTTGAACGATAAACACGACTCCATTTACAAGTTGTTTGCACTCCCTTGGAAGTTTTTCTATAAGTTTTAGTTTTATCAAAATCCCAGTCAATTAAGAATTTGCAAGGCACTTTAGATGCTCAAGTCGACGTTGTCCTAATTTCTTTGTCCCTTGCTTAGTACAGAGGTGAAGTTTCATGCAGGATTCACGCACGAACCAATGGGGTGCAGAGAACTAGGAAGCTGTACTCTCTTGTCCAATCAGAGCTCACGGAGTTTTATAAATACCGAGTTTTTCTAGTTTCCACGCTCATTTTGTGTTGGGTAGCTCTTGTAGTTGAACTTATGGCTCGCACGAAGCAGACGGCGCGCAAGTCTACCGGCGGTAAAGCCCCCCGTAAGCAGCTGGCCACCAAGGCAGCCCGCAAGAGCGCGCCGGCCACCGGCGGCGTGAAAAAGCCGCACCGCTACCGGCCCGGAACCGTGGCGCTGCGCGAGATCCGCCGCTACCAGAAGTCCACCGAACTGCTGATTCGTAAGCTGCCGTTCCAGCGCCTGGTGCGCGAGATCGCGCAGGACTTCAAGACCGACCTGCGCTTCCAGAGCTCGGCGGTGATGGCGCTTCAGGAGGCGTGCGAGGCCTACTTGGTGGGGCTGTTCGAGGACACCAACCTGTGTGCCATCCACGCCAAGCGCGTCACCATCATGCCCAAGGACATCCAGCTGGCGCGCCGCATCCGTGGGGAGCGGGCATAAATGCACTGTGGCTCCAGTTTGTATCCTACCCCAAAAGGCTCTTTTCAGAGCCCCTCCATAGTCAGTAAAAAGGCTGTTACTTTCTAGCTGTGCTTTTGTTAGTTCGTGTTAAAGGTTCAGACTTGGGCAATATAACTTTGTGCTGTGTTCTGTACTTAAGTTATCCGTTGTTCACTGGTTCTGTATTTTGCGTGACTATCGTTTTGCTGTTTGCCTTCTTGGGTGAACAGCTTGACGCTAGGCGACTTAAATGAGGGCGGTCTGAGTATCCACAGGGAGATCAGCCTCTGCCTTTCTCCTGTTTTTGAACTCACTCCAAATTAAGTTTATATTGTAGCAACTTGCTTAGCTTTTTTTGGAAGCTTAGAAAGTGTTTTGAGGTCTGGGACAGCCTTCTTCCCACAATTAACTTCAAGCTCTTGCTAGGAACAGGGAGGATTCATGCTGGCCTTTCAGGCCTCAGCCTTCCCACTACCATTAGGGTTCCCACCCCAGCTGCGGGAGTGGGGCAGGTACTCAGTGTAGACCCAGAGTTGGCGGTGACCAGCTCTAGAGTCTTGGGGGGGGGGGGGGTCCTGATTCTCTGGGTCTCCCCTTGTACGAGTATAAAAGGCAGATGAATTAAAACTCGAAGAGCAGAGTTAGGATTACTTCTTTCTGCTGAGTAATGTGCACCGAGTGTTAGCTCTTGTTACACTCTGCCCCCTTACTCACGGGGTTTGGGGAGTTTTCTCCTGAATCTTTTGAAAGTTTTGTGACTGGGAACCACGGTAAACACTTGGATAAAACGTTACATTGTTAAGATCTCTTTCTTTAGATTTCAATTTGCTTTGCTCTGAAAGAAACCAGTAGGACTATCTGTGTCTGCGTGGAGGAGTCTGAAATGACCCCAAAGGGCCAGGTATTAAATAATTTAAGATTTTGCAGGCCACATATGGTCCCTTTAAGTATTCTTGGTTTTTTTTTTTAGCAATCTTGTCAAAATGCAGACAATTCTTCAGTGGAGGGTTATCAAAAACAAACCTCTAGGGCTGGGCATTTAGCTCAGTGGTTCTACCGCTTACCTCAAAAGCACAAGGTCCAGAGTTTGATCCCCGATACCAAAAAAACAAAACAAAAACAACAACAAAAAAACCCCACCGCCTAGATTGGGCAATTTTTTCCTAACCTCCAGGAGCTCTCACAGAGATTGTTTTGATGAGTTTAAATTCCTCTAAGTAGCTTTTCACCGGCAAGAACTGGTCATTCATTTTTGAACTTTGTTGTTGTTATTTAAAAAGAAACTTTTTGTTATCACCCCCCCCCCGGGGGGGGGGATTGCTTGTTAGGTTTTTTTTGAGACAGGGTCTTGCTCTGTAGTCAAGGCTAGTCTTCAACTTACTATTGTAGCCCAGGTTGGACTTGCATTCAAGTCAATCCTCCCGCCTCAGCCTCCCAAGTGCTGGGATTAAAAGTATGTCTCATCCTGCCTGGCTCCTCTTGATTTTAGTATATATCTAATTAAATCTTTTGCTCGACCTTAGATTATACTGGCACAAAAATCCCAATAATTTTCCTTCCCTCCAAAATGGTAAATTTCACTTCTCCCGTTCTCACCTCATTTTTCATTGTGGGGTTACATTTTGCTGCGAGCTTTTGAGACTCTGAAACATTCACTCGATACTCAGTCTAACCTCCTGGTCAATATTTAGTTATTGTAAAACATAGGCCTGGCTGCAAGGAAACACAGGAATACCCATATTGACAGCCCAGGCTGCTCAAAGACCATTCCTAGCTGCTGAAGGAAATGCAGTTCCAGCTCTGGGAAGAAAGCTCAGGCCACTCTCCATGCCCTGGCCCACACGATCTTCATACCTCCACTCTAGGGAGTTCTTGAATGATTTTCTGCAGGTTTTATCCTTTTTGTTTTCTAAAGCAAATTATCTTTGTTAAGTACTTTTCGACCCTATTTTAATGAATTAGCTCAGGAAGTAAAGCAAGAATGCAGGTCAGTTAGAAAATAAAAATTTAAGATTGCATCTGAGTTTGGGTGATTGGCTTCCTAACTCAGAGATGTCTGACCTTCCCACCGTGAAGTGGAAGGTCATTCTGACATCCCAACTTTAACCAGCTGTAAAATCAATTGTCCTATAAATACACCAGTGTGGGACTGCATAACCTTTGTTCCTTTTCTCCAGCCCCATTGTGATTAAATGTGAGTTAATGGATAAAGATGCTTGTTAGTTTTGGGACACTAGATAAAAATCTGTAACAGACCTAAAGTCCCAAAGTAAACTACTCAACTCCTTGTTTACCCGGAACTGATATTCCGGACACCACAATCTATAGAACAAGGTGCAAATGTCTGCTGACCATCAATATGTGCCAGTCGACCACTAACCTTTGTCCCCTTTTCTTTAATTCTATATGTTAACTTCCCCCTCAACCCCCTATAAAAACAGCCTCGGACTCTGAGCCAGTTGCCTCTCTAAACTATTTTGCTTTGGGAGTGCCATCTGGTCAGACTAATAAAGGTCTGTTTTACTTTCCAACTTGTCCGGTGTGTTCCTTCCCGGGTGTTCTTCGTTGCAGTCAGCTCCTCGGAGCATTTGGTAAGGCCCTCGGTCTTACCCCAGTACTTGAAAACTGCTAGGAGGCAGAACCGGTTTTAAAGTAAAGTTTATGTGGCTATTTTCAGGCCCTGAGCAATCACCCGCCCTATGCCTGTGTTACTTGCACAGTTAGACACAAAGCTTATTCCCAAATCAAAGAATATACTGTGTTCCTTCTTTCAAAAATAAAACCCCAAACCTTTGGACAAATCCTTTTAAGTAGTATTCCTTGAATACATAGTATAAGTTTGTTGTAACATGCAATTTAGTAGCAGGATGCCCCCAGGCTGCAGGATTTTTCTTAAGCCACAGAATTTTTCAAAGTATCTTTCACTAATTGAGTGGGATACCAAAAAACACAAACAAGTGTGTGGACTTGGGGACTGTTCTCCCCTCTGAAACCTCACAGCCCAAAATTCTGTTCCGTGGTTTTCACGATTTAATCAAGTTTGGGGGACCCACAAACCCACTTTGAGAGTTCCAGGGCGCGCAGCGGCGGCCGGTGGATCGGTCCCTCCACCAATCACAGGCCAGCGGCACGTTATATAAGGCCCGGGCCGCGCGTTGCAGCACTGCGAAATTCGCCTCTGGGTTCTAGTTTGTTTTTCTTCGCTCTTTTCCCGTTGCCATGTCGGAAACCGCTCCCGCCGAGACGGCCGCGCCGGCCCCAGTGGAAAAGTCCCCCGCCAAGAAGAAAACCGCCAAGAAGGCGGCCGGCGTGGCCAAGCGCAAGGTCACTGGGCCCCCTGTGTCCGAACTCATCACCAAGGCCGTCGCCGCCTCCAAGGAGCGCAATGGGCTCTCCTTGGCCGCCCTGAAAAAAGCGCTGGCCGCTGGCGGCTACGACGTGGAGAAGAACAACAGCCGCATTAAGTTGGGGCTGAAGAGCCTAGTGAGCAAGGGCACCCTGGTGCAGACCAAGGGCACCGGAGCCTCCGGCTCCTTCAAGCTCAACAAGAAGGTGGCTTCGGGAGAGCCCAAGGCCAAGAAGCCGAGCGCCGTGAAGCCTAAGAGGCCCGCCGGAGCCGCCGCCAAGAAACCCAAGAAGGTAGCGGGCGCCAAGAAGGCTGTGAAAAAGACACCAAAAAAGGCAAAGAAACCTGCCGCGGCTGGTGTTAAGAAGGTGGCCAAAAGCCCCAAAAAGATGAAGCCGGCCGCTAAGCCAAAGAAAACAGTAAAGAGCCCCGCCAAGTTGAAGGCCATGAAGCCTAAGACGGCCAAGCCCAAAGCAGCTAAACCAAAGGCAACCAAGCCCAAGGCTGCCAAGGCAAAGAAGGCGGCGCCCAAAAAGAAGTAGGAAGTTTGTGCGAACAGTACGGAAGCCCCAAAGGCTCTTTTCAGAGCCACCCACACGGATCTTTGAAAAGACCTGTGCGCTTACACAACTTCGTTAAACCAAACATGCAGGGACATAGTGTGACGTTCTGCCAGTGACAGCCGAGTGCGCAATACATTTCTTGGTAAATGTCTCAACTCCTTAAAAAACTTCAGTGGCTCTGAAAAGAACCTTTGGAGTTGTGTTGTGGGCTTCATTTGCCCTTGGTCTTGTGGTGGCTCTCGGTCTTCTTGGGCAGCAGCACGGCCTGGATGTTGGGCAGCACGCCGCCCTGCGCGATCGTCACCTTGCCCAGCAGCTTGTTGAGCTCCTCATCGTTGCGGATGGCCAGCTGCAGGTGACGCGGGATGATGCGCGTCTTCTTGTTGTCGCGCGCCGCGTTGCCGGCCAGCTCCAGGATCTCGGCCGTCAGGTACTCCAGCACGGCCGCCAGGTACACCGGGGCGCCGGCGCCCACGCGCTCGGCGTAGTTGCCCTTGCGCAGCAGGCGGTGCACGCGCCCCACCGGAAACTGCAGCCCGGCGCGGGACGAGCGCGTCTTCGCCTTGGGGCGAGCCTTGCCGCCCTGCTTGCCGCGTCCAGACATCTCCTAAAGCCCAGCGGCGGAATCACTCACCAGTGTCCCGAGAGGGAAAGAAAGCGCTCTTTATGGCGTCGTCGGGGGGCGAAAAGACAGCGCTGCGATTGGCCACTTTTCATTTTCGATTAGACCAATGGAAGGCGGCCGTGCGGGCCGCGGACGGTCAACGGGCGAGCCGGGATTGTGACGTCACAGAAGCACAATCACCAATCGCCGCAGACCTTCTCCGCGCCTCATTTACGTATCGCCCTCTAGATAAGGCAGCGTGGGTTGGCGGGCTCCTCAATGCTTCCCTCTCTCGCTCCAAGATGCCGGAACCCTCGAAGTCGGCGCCGGCCGCGAAGAAGGGGTCGAAGAAGGCGGTGACCAAGGCGCAGAAGAAGGACGGCAAGAAGCGCAAGCGCAGCCGCAAGGAGAGCTACTCGGTGTACGTGTATAAGGTGCTGAAGCAGGTGCACCCGGACACGGGCATCTCGTCCAAGGCCATGGGCATCATGAACTCGTTCGTGAACGACATCTTCGAGCGCATCGCGGGCGAGGCGTCGCGCCTGGCGCACTACAACAAGCGCTCGACCATCACGTCGCGGGAGATCCAGACGGCCGTGCGGCTGCTGCTGCCTGGCGAGCTGGCGAAGCACGCCGTGTCGGAGGGCACCAAGGCCGTCACCAAGTACACCAGCGCCAAGTGAGCCCGCGAGTGAGTCTCACGCTGCCCACAAAGGCTCTTTTCAGAGCCACCCACTCTTTCTAAAGAGAGCTGGCGCTGAATTTCCCTTCTGAAGAAAACGAAGTCTGAAACTATCGGTAATGGTCCTCAGCATTCACCAAAGCTGTACTGTCTCTTCTGGTGTTTTAAGGTAGGGTAAACCGAGGGTATGTTAACACACTCTTAACTTTTATCCTCAGGATAGATGTTAACCCTAGTGACTGGCCCATTTTTAAAAATTATTGTGTACAAATTTCAAATGCCTTTTAAATTTCTCTGGTCAGTGAAAGTCAACGTTTCCACGTTGCACCATAAATTTGGGTTGTTACACGTTTATTTTTCAAGAAAGTTTTAGTTCACTTCCTTTGCTATCTCCCTCTATACCTACTGTGTTCAAGTGATTTCACGATGTTGATAAGGATGCAGGTCAACCGGAACCAGTCTCCCTCTAGCCGGTTAAAGACGTCCACATCCTGTCCTGCAGGGGTATTCCTGGCCGCTGGAATTTTCCTGGCAGTACCTTGTTGCAGTTACCCTAAGTAGACAGCGTACTGGCTCCTCCCATGCCAAGCCTTTCCTTTGAATTCCCCAAATTCAAGATGTCCCCTGATTCTGCCTTCTGTTCTCCATCATCTCGGTTTTACCTCTGTAAGGGTTGGCATTTCTGTGTACTATTTTCCCATGGCCAGAATTTTTCATCGAAAGAATTTAGACTCAAGTTTTTTTTCTGAGCCAGCACCACATTTTATTTCAATATCTTTCTTAATGTTTAACTGTAAGAATTGGAAAATTTTAAAACCAACAAGGCAACCTCTGAAAAGTGAAGGTTAGAAAGTTTTTTTTCAAGAGAGAATGAAGTTTCCCAGTGTTTAGATATTTAGACGGACAGAGCCGTGTTACCATTTTCCGTGAATCAGTGTTTAAATACAAATACAAGTCCTAATATCCTAGACTGTCAGATATTTCAACGGAAAAGCTCAAGCGCTTCTATTGCTTTTCTAAGTGTCATTCAATCTTTTCTGATTAGAATGCAGGAAGTCTCAGATTGGCTTGTGAGAATAAACAGTGCAGAACTAGGCTGCCTTCCGTTCAGCAGGCGAAGGACAGAGTCAGGCCAAAGGCAGACAAAGCCAGGGACTGTTCCCTCAGTCTCCAGAAAGTGGTTGGCAATGCTTGTGGAATTCTTAAGGGCTCAGGGTTAGGCCATTTCTTTACTGGATTAACCTGCATTGAATCTGCAGTAAGTCCTGATGCTGATGCACCAAATAGATAGGCGGCTGGCTCTCAAAGGTGCAGTTACTGTTTCCTGACATGTACCTTCCCCACTATTGTCAAATCCCCGTTCATTTTCGTCCAGACCCAAACTGTCCTTCAAAGCCATGAAACCTCCTTCCCTCCTCCCCATTCCTTTCCTGCTAGGCTGCAATTTACCTTGAATTTTCAATCTTCCTGCTTCAGCCTCCAGACTGTTGGGATCAGGCCATGCCCCATCATGCTAAGCTATTTGATCTTGAAGCTTTTCCAGGGTCTCATCCTCCTGTCTCAACTTCACACACACACACACACACACACACACACACACACACACACACACACAATCAGCCTGTTTGCAAGTTGGATCCTCCCTGTCTTTCCATATGTATTGTTTGCTCCTCCCAAGGACCTCGAAGACATCATTTGTGTCTAGTTTTCTTTTACTGTAATGTTCGTATCACCGCTCAGCCAGCATTAGCTGTCTTGGCTGTTCTTGTCTGCCTGTGAGGCCTGCACTTTTTCCCAGCTTTGCAATGAGACGAACTTCTGAAACACGTGGCCATGTCAGAACGTCAGGACAGTTGTTTCTTGGAATAATCAGGTTATGCATTTGTAAGCTGGAAGTAACAGTAATTCTTAGTCATATGACTGTTGTGAAACTGCTTTGTGGACTGTACACATTTGTTTTTCTGGTGCCATTTGTTATATTGGCTCTCTCCCTCCTGTCTCTGTCTCTCTTTAAATTTTTAAAAATCTTTATGTTTCAATTTATTTTTAATTGATACATAAAAGCAAAAGTTGTAGATATTAGTGTGGTACTGTGTAACATTTTGATACATATACACTTGGTAATATTTAAATCATGTTAAAGTTAAATATATCTCCTCAAATATCTTTGCGGTGAAGATACTAGCTTTTTGGAACACCCTGACGCCATCCTTACCGATAATTGCTTGCTGGGCAGCATCACAGGAGGACTTCCTGTTCCTGCCGTGACTGAGCCCCGGTGACCAACCTTTCCCCACAGGAGGCCAAGGGGGTCTTCACGGTCACAGGGCCCAGAACTCAGAGGGAGCCGCCCTGACAGGACGAGCAGGGCTGGGAAGCGCTGCCTGTCAGCAGCTTGCAGGCCTGTGTCCCTGAGGGCCAGGGCGCAAAGCCCGGATCCGGAGGGCTGCTTGTGGACATTCTGATTGCTTGGAATTTGAAAGACTTGAGACCCTTGGTGTACTCGTAAAACAGCCTCGAAGTTGAGCCCATACAGTGTCGACTGTGGTATTTTCCAGTTTATATTTTCTTTCAGGAGGTATTGGTCACGCTAGGAACTCTTTGAGGGATGAGAAATGTAATGAGAACTAAATAGGCAAAAAGCCACAGGAGGGATGAGAAACGGAACAAGAAGTAGACAAAAAGTCACATGTCAAGACTTTATTTTCTGTAGGGGGAAAAACAAATACTCTTAAGAAGAGCGTCGGATAATATTGAAGGTTTGGGAGGAAAAAGGGCGAACAGCCTTGTATTTCCCATCTGAACGACAGCCACAGGAGGCTCACGGAGCAGGCGAAGTCTGAGCGAGGCTGCGGAGAGGACGGCGCGACAGCGGGAGGCTGATGCGGGCCGAAGGGCGCGGAGGCGGGCGCCTGGGCGGGGGAGCCGCGCGCGGGCACCCGGCGGGCACGCGGTGCTCGGGAAGGCGAGGCCAGGGTCAGAATCCTGCGCTGCTGCCCGTGGGCGCGTGGCGTGACCCTGCATCTGCTCCTGGGCTTCCGAGGGGCGAGGTGTAAGGCACGGGACCGCCTTTCACTGTGCTCAGGAATCTCACGAGGAGAGCGAGGAGACGCAGGCCTGGGCTGAGCGTCTGTTCGGATTAGCTTTTGCTTTTTGCTCCAGGTTAGTGCCCTCTCCACAGCCTCCTGAACCTGAGATGCCTGTGGGAGAATCAGTAAGTTCGAGGCTGGGTCCAGCCGGGGACACCGGCGCTCACACAGACGTGGGCTTCTGGCAGGAAAGACTCCGGCAGAGCTCACGGCCGCGCCCCGATGCACGCGTCCACTCCCGAACCCACCTTCTCTGCCCCTTCCTTAGCGTCAGGCCCGAGTTTTACTCTTCTCTCAAGTCAGGAGAGTGAACTCTCGCAGTTCCTCTTGTGCTACCGTGTTCATATAACCAAATACTAATCAAAAGCCTTTCCCGTTGTCTGTCGGTTTTCTATTCCCTGCTTTTCACTCCTCTTCCACCCAGGGGTCCTCAGTCAGGCTTCGGGATCACTGCTAGGCCTTTGCAGGGAACCAACCCTGGCCCACCGAGATCTGGTTTCCTGGACCGGGGCCGCGCGGCGACCCGCTCCTGATGCGCTCATGGGGTGAGGTGGGGTCGGGTGAAGTCGGGTGCGGCCCTACACGGACCCACGCACGGCCCGCAGGAGACGCGCGAGTGCTTCGAGGCTTCCAGGGTTAGACGGCGGGACCGCGATGGGCCGCCGCGCCGCGGAGCTCCGGGCCGCGCAGCCAGACCAGCTGCTCCGGATGCTGGGCCCGGGAACCCTGGCCAGTAATAAGCACTTCCGCTGAACCAAAGTTGCGAGATTTCGGGGTAACGTGTTGCTCAGGACTCAGTGGCACTACACCAACTGGGTCTCAGTGACCCTTTCTTTCAAGGTTGAGTTTTGTTTCGCCTCTTCCAAGAAACTCCCAGTTGTCTCCGTACAGAATATCTGTGCTTCCCTGTAGCAGGTACAGTTAATGTTTAGTGTAATTTCTGTATTCATGGAACACAGATATATAATCGATAAAGGTTATATAAAATAAAAGCTTCGTTTTGTCATTTATGATTTTATGATATTGTAGTACTCAAATTTCCACTTTCATCATGGTTTTTCTTGTGGTAGGTGATTGCAACCTACCCAATTATTCATCTTCTTTAACTATGCTCCTTAGAAAATCTAATCAATGTATTTTAAGGCCTTTACATGATTGAAAATTTCTATATCTGACCATGAACAGAGGATGATGATAAAACAATATAAAATAAAGCTATTATTTATTTTGGGGTTATTTTGTTGGTTTTGTTTTTATTTTTGTTTTCTGAGGCAGGGTCCCGCTATGTAGTTCAGGCATGCCTTGAACTCACTGTGTAGCCCAGGCTGCCTTAAATTCACAGCCACCCTCCTGCCTCAGCCTCCCACGTGCTAGGATTACAGTGTGCGTCACCACACCTGGTGTAAAGCAATATTATTTAATTCTAGTTATATACTGTTTGCGGTCTTCTACGCTGAGTCTGAGGTTTGCTGTTACTAACTTAAAAAAAGAGACAAAAGAGAGAAGATTAGGGTTAGGCCTTTGAGACACGTCAGCATGAAACTCACTTCCCCAGTTACTTATCCTAAATGACTGAAAAGGAAAAAAAAGAGAGAAAGATATTCATCCTCTGTTCCAGCAGTTGCTCACTGAGTTGTTACCTCCTCGTCTCTCCCGGATTGTGGAGACTGCACAGCTGGAAACGAGCTGATCCACAGTGTTCGCCGTGACCGGAAGCCCCGCCACTGCTCCTAAGGGCTGCACGGGGCCCTGGCCAGCGTGTCTGAGATTTAAAGGTTCTCCTCAGTCAGTACCCTTACAGCCCAGTGCTCCCGGTTTACATTTCCTAATTTATGCATTTAAAAAATTACTTTTAAAAAGAGCTTCTCTGCACTATGCCCCCGCAGGACATTGGTTAGGGTCGTCCTTCCTGCCTGTGTCTGGGATCTTACACGACTGCAGTTT